AATGTAGACCTGACACTACAAAAAGATCTGGATTTTGTTTATTATTGTTATTTGGATATATTTTTCTATCCTCCCTGCAAAAAAGGAATAAAAAAGGCAAAGCTAAGTAGCAGTCAGAAAATAGCACAATAATATGATATACTGTATACTTATTAGACGATCTGAAAGGGGCCATTCTGCATTGAGTGGTTTTATTTTTTCAAAAACAAATAAATAAAATACAAAATCAGATCTCTGGATAAGTAAAGGATCTGAGTACTTCTTCAACCACTGCCTTCATGTATATGACACTTAAATAAAACTATACATTTACTCATTCACTGTTAAATGATAGACCTAAAAAGGTACTGGCTATCCCTTATAGGTGAGTTACTGCATGCATGTGTGAGTTTGTAGGTCCAACAAAAACTTACTGTACGACAAGGCTTGTGTTACCTTAAGCAAAGACAACTTTATTAATGCTCAGGTAGCAAAATGATCTCTAAAATTACATTTGAAGAACATCTAAACACAAAGTAAACCATTCAGTTGAGAAGTTTCTTGTGTAGGAAGAGGTAAAGCTTAGACACGTAGACAAACGTATCGTCTGCAAACGCTCTCAGTCTCCATCTCTTATATCCTATACTAGCAACAAGCATGCAGTCATCTAGGATATCCAGTTCAAACTAAATCCAGTGCCATCTAAAAACTCATTGGACTCTCATCCCAAAGTACATTAAGATTTACCATAAATAATTTATTATATTGAAATATCTCCATGCGAGTAAACAAAGGACAATAGCTTCAGAGGTCTCAAACACATCAAAACAAAGGGGATTACAAGGGAGACCTAGGATCTATGAAAATATATTCAACAGATATACAGATTGAGACAAAAAATATATAAATACATTTACACCTATCTTTGTACATATGTACATCAGCAATATCACCCATGTGAATATCACAAATTATTTAGAAATCTCCTCTACAAGACGCCTCTTTTCAAAATGTGAGTGTCTTTGTGGTAGTTTGGTTAGTTTTAAAGACATGGTACCCTAAGTTTAGGTGTTAGGTACATGCAGTGAATAGCAGCGCAGAATGTTTCAAACCATAATCTGTAGAATCAGTTGTTAAATGGTAAAGTGCATGATACAGATATTTTCTTATATATATGATAAACTGAAAGAATGCCCTGGGCTATAAAGATACTTGTAACACTTCTAAACATTAAAAGACGATATATGAATATATAAGTTATTTTTCTCCAACTGCCAACATAGTGTATGACATAAAGTCAATTAAATATCTGTATCTTAGTCACCCTACCAAAAAAATAACTTGTGGCTATTGACAGATACTGGTTTTAGCCAGGAATGATACAATACACATATTTAGAGATCCACTCAATTAAGTTTAATTAAAATTACTAACTGTTGATGTTTTGCAACTAAACTTTGAACAGTCATCAGCATTTTGGGATTTGGGAGAAATAAAAAATATTGGTTAGCACCTTATTTAATTGGTCCAATGGCTTCCTAGCAAATTCCTAGAAAGAAACTGATACGCTAGTGTAAATTCTTAGGAAGGTCCCTGGAAACTGTGATTTGGAACAGCTATAATTAAAACACAGACAGTGTGCAGCTGGTACACTTCCAATTAATAATTGCTACCTTAACCAAAAGAGTCTTCAAGTCAGTGCACAGCAGGTCAGGTGAATATGCAGATATGTAAAATTTGTCTATAGGCAAGCACCCAATTAAAATATGTGAGGAATTAAGTTCCAATTATAAAGAAATATTTATTATGGGTTTAATGAATCTGGCAAGTTTTACATAAAGATATTAGAAGTTCTCTCTTAAAATTATGGAAGCCTATTTCTGCCAAGAAAATTCAGAAATGTTAGGAATGACAAATATAAACAATATAAAATGTTTTTTAGATAGAAAGTCAAAATTCTGAAAATCAAAAATGTATATGTGTGATTTTACTCTGTCTTGATTATGATAGTAAGTCTAAATTAAGAGATACTAAGTCAGAGATATAATATAGTCAGAAATTTGACTTAAAAGGTAAAAAAATAAAATAAAATAAAAAAAACTTACATTCTCATAATTGTGACTTGGCATCTCATGATTTTGACTTAATACTTTAAATTTTGACCAAGCATCTCATAATTGTGATTTAACATCAGAATTTCGAGTTGCGTTTGCAGAATTTTGACTTACAACCTTATAATGTTGAATGAAATGTTTGAAAGAAAAATCTCATAATAATAATAATAACAAGTCAAATGTCTGACATCTCATTACTTTAAATAACCATGATTATTTTGTCACTCCTAACATAATCTATTTGTTTTTCTTTTTTCCGGTGGAAGTGGGCTTTCATAGAGTGGGTTTTCTCTGGAAGTCAGTCACCATTTCCTGTCTTTTACATAAATTGTGTACTTCTATACTTATTGAGAATATTCTTTCACATAATTGAGCCTTTTGTAAGTCCTGCCCCTTTTTGCTCTTTGCTCCAATAACAGTTGAGCAAGCCTTCGTCAACTTTCTCCTTTCCTGCATTTTGCTACAAAGCAAAAAACTAGCTAACCAGCTGGCCAATCTACGTTAAATCATTAGCTAGCTAGTTATATCTGAAAGCTAATGTTAGCAAAATGCTAGCAAACTAGCTAGCTAATTTACATGAATCATTAATTAGCTAGCATTTTGCTAGCATTATTTCATTTAAGATAAGCCTAGCACATAGCATATCTAAGTACAGGAAAGGACAAAGTTGACCGAGGCTTAATCAAATGTTATTGGAGCACAGAGCAAAAAGGGGCGGGACATAGTCAATTACCACCACACTACATTAGTTCTTTCAGGGAAACTTTTAAAGAAACTATTAGGAAATATTGGGACCTAATAAATCTTTAACTAAGGTGCAGTAACATTTCTACCCTGATATGACGTCTTTATGATAAAGAAAATAAATTCCTCAGATTCTAAATATCAAGGTCTCCCTTCAAGCAGACATTATAAGCAGAATCTACAGTATCTGACAACGATTTAAACAAACCAGATTAATAGTAAATTGAGTATGCTGTGTGGCAGAACTGGCCGTGATAATGTTTACAGCTGTAGGGCTCCATATGTTAACAGTCTTGTTTTAAATTGATTGTATAGTCATTGATAAATCATTTCATAAAGAATGACAAGCTGTTACAGTGTCACATATTGACAGACACCATTCAAAATTTGAATACATCTCTTTAAACTATTATAAATTTGTCTTTGATCATTAAAGCGGCATATTTACATATTTGTAAGCTCATACATTATTGCATTACATTAGATTCAAAACACATTTAAACCCTGTTTTCCGGTCATAACACAGAGTACTCTGCCTGTGTTTCTGAAATAAATAATACTTATGATATATAAACAAAGAACAACAATTAGCAATTCATTTTTCACATTCGAAAGACAACATTTCTCAGATTTGATATTCCCGTTCCATCAAATAAACCAGAAACAAATCAGACTTAATGCTAGCAATTGCTTTCCCTCAATGAGAAAATAAAAAAATTAGCAGGGCATTTGACATTTCAAACAAACCTATGCGGAGAAGAAAAGCGGACATTTTTATGAATACTATAAGAATCAACAGGCTCTGACAGACGAGTGTTCACTTCTGCAGTGGTGGAAGTCTTTGTGGATATAGTGCGACTTCGCTTCTGGAGTGGAATAAAAATCCCCCGTAGGGTTTCACGAACCACATTGTACATGCTCTAAAAACTAGTAGGAATATTTATGTACCACAAACCTACCATACCTGGACAAATCTAGACATTAGGCATTACAAAATACAAAGAACTCCTGGATAAAAATAAAGTTGATACCCCAGCCTTAGTATTAGAGCTGGGATAAAAGTCCTGATGCTTTATATTGCATCTTTACTCTACTCCTAACACACTACCACTTAAATACCTCGCCTCCTCTTTGGGACCAGGAGTGAAGCAGGACGTCCACCCACCACAGAGTACCTTGTCCGACTTGCTCCGCTGTCGTCTTAAATAATGCCGCCACTGTTGTTGAGTCTATTTGGTCGTTGTCTTTGAGAAGAGGAAAAGCAGCAGTTCATCTCACCACAACGATGCCCCCGAAAACACAACATCTGTTCCTTTGAAACCTCGATAAGATAATCTCACACAAACCTGCTTCATTTTACAAGGATGGCTACCTTATAATCAGCACGCGAAGGGGGGGGGGGGGGCAGTTACGGTCTCCCTGTGAAGCTAGTTTAAGCTCTTCAGTGCAAGTTCGAATTCGTTTTTTAACATCCAAACACACCGTGGAACTAAATCAAGTTGTTAAAACGAAATCGACCTTCGGAGGAAATTGTGCTTGTTTGTACACGAGTGGTCGTCGGAAAAGATGCTAGGTGTGGATTTCAGCAACCCAGGGTTCATAAATAAAACCTGCCCTGGATACTGTGTGACCTCCAGAGGAGAAATGTGCGTATGACATGAATAAATAATAAATATGACATCTGGGGGTATTTACAGGGGTGTGCTATTTACAAAAGGACTCTCCATAAAGCTAACATAAAGCTAGTTTCCAGTACAAAACACAGAAGCTACAGCTGTGATGCTATTGAAT